ATATAACTAAACATATATATATATATATATATAATAGTATTAATAGAGAAGATTTAATTAAAAAATAACAAATAGGCGGAGTCTTTAAAATGCTCGGAGAGACGCCAGCAAAATATTTGCAGCGCTCTCAGCTGTTTGTTTATTTGTTTATTTGTTTGTTTGTTTATTTGTTTATTTATTTATTTATTTGTTTATTTGTCTCCTTGAATTGCATTATATATCTTATTTGTTTATCTGTTCATTTGCTTTATTTATTTATTTTATTTATTTTATTTATTTATTTGTATGGGTGTCTGCGCTGCCGGTCTGTCTATTGTTTATTTATTTATTTATTTATTTTGTTTATTTATTTATTTAATTTATTTATTTATTTATTTTATTTATTTATTTGCTCCCTTCGTTTTTACGTTTGTTTTGTTTGATAGGCGGTTCTCTCTATTTATTTATTTATTTATTTAATTTGTTTATTTAATTTATATATTTAATTTTAATATTTACTTTATTTATTTATTTGTTTAATTATTTACTTTATTTGTTTATATATTTGTTTACTTATCCCTTTTATTTATTTTTTGTTTTAGTTTGTGTATTTATTTATGTGTGTTATTTGCTTTGTTTATTTATTTATTTATTTATTTATTTATTTATTTTATTTATTTTATTTATTTATTTATTTTATTTATTTATATATTTGTTGGTGCTTTTAGTACTTCATTTACCTGTCTTGTTTATTTTATTTATTTGCTTATTTATTTTAATTATGTTTATTTATTTATTTATATTTATTTGATGTATTCATGTATATGTTTATTTACTTTATTTTATTTATTAATAATTATTATTTATTTATTTAATTTATTTATTTATTTGCTTCAGCAGTTGCTGTTGTGTTATGCGTTGCTGCTGCTGTCTCTCGTCTTGCGTATCTGTTTATGCATTTGTTTCTTGCTGCTGCTGCTGCTGCTGCTGCTGCTGCTGTCTTTGTTGGGGCTGCTGCTGGAGTTAGTCCTGCAGCAAAGCCACCCTGTTGTTGCCCTTGGGGTTTCAAAAGCAGCACCGCTGCCGCTGCTGTTGCCTCTCTGCTGCTGTTGCAGTTGCTGCTGCTGCTGCTGCAGCAGCTGCAGCAGTAGCTGTTGCTGCTGCTGCTGCTGCTGGAACCGGGGCTGCATGCACTGCAGCAGCTGCACCGTACTCCCTTGTACACGGCTACCTCCTTTTGCTGCTGCACCTCTTGCACTTGTAGCAATACGAATAGGAGGCAAGCAAAACCCTTGAACAGATTGAACTAGAGGAATACCACCCCCGACCTGCTGCTGCTGCTGCTGCTGCTGCTGCTGGTCTTGCTGCTGCTGCTGCTGCTGCATCCCTGCATCTGTTTCCCCAGCAAAAGACAAACCTGGAGGCGTATAAACAGAAAAGGGGTAAGCCTGCTGCTGCTGCTGCTGCTGCTGTCCTCGCCGCTGCGCAGCAGATGCCGCTGCAGCGGTGAAGAAATCCCTCCACACTTGCTGCTGCTGCTGCTGCTGCTGTAGGAGCAGTTGCTGCTGCAGCTGCTGCTGCAGTTGCTCCTGGAGTTGGTGTTGGATTTGTTGCTGTTGCTGCTGCTGCTGTGCATTAACGTTGAGTTTATCTGGTGAGCAGTAGAGAGCTTGCTGCTGCAGTTGCTGCTGCAGTTGCTGCTGCAGCTGCTGCAGCGGCTGCTGTGCATGCGCTAAAGCTTCTGGAGATGAAGCAGGTGCTACGAGGCCTCCCACAGGCGGCGCGAGGCGTTGCAGTGCTTCTGCAGTGTCTGTACACCCCAAGCTATACCAGTCAATATTATCCTGAGACATCGGCTTCAAAGGAGAAGAACTGCTGCTGTTGCTGCTGCTGTTGCTGCTGCTGCTGTTGCCTTTGTCAAGAGGAGCAGCGACAGCATCACCGCACTTCTGACCTGCAGCAGCAGCAGCAGCAGCTGCTGCTGCTGCTGCAGCTTTTACACTGCTGCGGTCAGATGTTTTGCCTTCCTCAGCTCTTGCTGCTTCCCCCGTCACTCCCTGCTGCTGCTGCTGCTGCTGCTGCTGCTGCTGCTGTGGGGTGGCGTCAGGAGCAGCAGGAAAGAGAGCAAGCGACGGCATTGGAGTTAAGGGTCCTTCAGAGTCAACGCGAAGACAAAATTCGTCTCTTCCTCTGTGAACCCCCAGCCGCTGCTGCTGCTGCTGCTGCTGCTGCTGCTGCAGCGCACCATCGGACTTAGCTCCCTGGCAGGTGCGCAGCAGCGCAGCCTGCAACTCCATCGGAGACATTGAGATTATTGTTGCTGCATGTTTTAATAAATATTCACAAGACCCGCTGTCTCCTAAAGAACTCATTGCTTTCATTGCTGCTCCAGATTCCTCTGCTGCTGCTGCTGCTGCTGCTGCTGCTGCTGCTTCTGCTGCTGCTGTCTCAACTCCAGATGAATGCGTTCGGCTGGGGGGCTTCCGCAGGAGCTGTTGTTGTCTCCGTTGCTGCTGCTGCTGCTGTTGCTGCTGCTGCTGCAGGCCGGTGGATTGTGAATACAACACATTTGCCTCACTGCTGCTGCTGCTGCTGCTGCTGCTGCTGCTGCTGCTGCTGCTGCTGCTGCCTTCTTCTTCTTCTGTGGTTTGTTCTTCTTTTGCTGCCGTTTCATTTTGCAGCATCTCTCGTTGAGCATTTTGCTGCTGTCTCTGGCGCAGGTGCTGCTGCTGCTGCTGCTGCTGCTTGTCCTTTTGCTGCTTCTCTTTTATTGTTGCTTCTGACAGCAAACAAGGAGATAAACTTAATGCTGCAGCATCTACAGGGCCGCATAAACCCCTACACTTGTCTGGTGCTGGTGCTGCTGCAGCAACAGCAAACTGCTGAAACAGAGGCAGATCTCCTGCAGTTGCATGCAAACAAGAGCAGCAAAAGAACTCAATAATTAATTAATTAATTTAATTTAATTAATTAATTAGGTTAATTGAATAAAATAGATAAAGTATATAAAGCAAACAAAACCACTGAAATAAATAAAACAAACAAAATGCGTAAAATAAATAAAACAAAGAAAATAAATAATAAAACAAATACAATAAAAGAACAAATAAATAAATAAAATTAATTAATTAAATAATAAAATAAACAAAACAAAGGCAGAGCCCTGAAAATGAGAGAGAAATAGAACAAAAAGAAGAGACGGACAGAAAGTGCTGCTGCAGCAGCAAGAAGCTTCAGCAGCAGCAGCAGCAGCAGCTGCTGCTGCTGCTGCTGTTGCAGCTGCAGCTGCACCCCTCACCATCTCCTATTGCTGTTGCTGTTCTTCTCCTCTCCCCCGTAGTAAACATCGACTCCCGGGGCCAATCGGCAGCAGCAGGAGCTGCAGCAGCACGAGCTGCAGCAGCAGGAACTGCAGCAGCATCATCTGCAGCAGCATCATCTGCAGCAGCGGGGGCATCTGCAGCAGCGACATCTGCAGCAGCAGCATCTGCAGCAGCAGGAAGGGCTGGCTGTAGGCTTGTGCTGCTGCTTCTGCTGCTGTTGCTGCTGCTGTTGCTGCTGCTATCCTGAGCAGCAGCCGAAGGGCTTTTGCTTTGTCTCTGTCTTTCTTCTTCGGACTCATCAACAAGTCCGTAGCGTTTTGAAGGAGATAATGCATTAGATGGAGATGAAGATAGAGGAGAAGCAGACAAATCCTTCTCCTGATAGTCTGCTGCTGCTGCTGCTGCTGCTGCTGCTGCTATTGCTGCTGCTGCTGCTTCTGCTGCTTCAGGTGCTGCTGCTGATGCAGGAGCAGCAACAACAAGTACCGGCTCAGCAGCAGCAGCAGCTTCTTTTTCTTCCTCTGCTGCAGCAGCTGGTGCTACTTCACTCCCCTTTAAAGGGGGCTTACCACATGCTTCTCTTATTCGATTAAAAGAAGAAAGAAGACGCGGATGACGACTAGCCAGCTGCATGCGCTGAAACTCTGCCTCTAAGACCGGCAGTACATCTTCAACTGCATGCAACAGCCACGCATACACCCCAAACCCTAAACCCTAAACCCTAAACCCTAATCTAAACCCTAAACCCTAAACCCTAAACCCCAGATACTCACCCTTCTCCTTATTAAACGACGCGTCTGTCAGCAGCTTCACAGCCAACACAATAAACTGAACCATCAACACATTGAGGTCCTTCTCTTCCGCTGCTTGGGCCTGAGACAAACAAACCCTAAACCCTAAACCCTAAACCCTAAACCCTAAAACCTAAACCCTAAACCCTAAACCCTAAACCCTAAAACCTAAGTCCTAAACCGTAAATCCTTTGCTTTCACCCTCGAAGTAAGCACCAGAAACACAAAGCTTCAGCACCAAATCAACCCTAAACCCTAAACCCTAAACCCTAGACAAGGAAACAGAGCCAGGGAAACAAAAGAAAGTGAGAACAAACCCTAAAGAGAGGCAGCAGCCGTTGCATGCATGCGTCGGCAATGCATGCAGCAACCCCCAAGGAAGAGGGCTCTCTATTATTAAACAAATGAACTCTACTCTACAGCTAATAAGATCCAGTCTAGGGTTTAGGGTTTACTAGGGTTTATTAGGGTTTAGGGTTTAGGGTTTATTCACCTTCAGCGAAACAATCTCCTCCAGTATGACATGCAGGCTATAGTCAATCTTCGAGTGCTGCTCCGCTAACCTGCATGCAAACAAACAGGGTTTAGGGTTTAGGGTTTAGGGTTTAGGGTTTAGAGATGTGCCTTCACCAGACTCAGGCAGAGACCTCTTAACCGCTCGTGCAGCGCAGATACAGACAAACAAAAGCAAAAAAATAAAAGAAGAAGTAAATAAAACAAACAGCAAAAATAAACAAAAAAAGAGAAGCAAATATAAACAAAGACAAAACACAAAGACGGGCTCTTAAACTCAGCCCTGGAGGCAGCAGAAACAAAACATAAAACAGCAGCAACAAAAACAGCAGCAGCAGCAGCGGCAGCAGCAATAAGCAACAGCAATATGAGAGCAGCAGCAAATATATAATCATCTTACCTTCGATAGAGAGGAGACTGCTCGGGCTCTGTTGAGTTCAGCTCTTCTTTCTTCATTTCTTCTTCTCGTTTGCACCCCTACAAATAAAATTAAAAAAAGATAAATAAAAATAAATAAATAAATCCTATATATATATATATAAATATATATATATATAAATATATATATATATATATATATATA